ATTTAGTTTAGCTTGAAGTTCATAATTACATTAAAAGAAAGAAAGTCTTTAGTTAATGCTTTGTATTTATCACCTGAGACCAGGTTAAGAGCAAAGTGGCTCTGCAACTGATTCTGCAACTGCAGCCTGCTAATAACTGCCTAACAGATCAAACATGTTGAGTATTCAATGAAAGTTCTGCATTTAATGTGTAGATTAGTTGACATCAAGTAAATAAAGACCACAGGAAATGTGAAATGTGAACATGGTTGTTGATATGGTTTATACGCCCACATGCGTCAAAGAAAACATTCTTGTTTGGCGGTGTGAATTCCCTGTCACTGATATAAAACTGCTTTGTCCACACTTTTATATTTTGTACTTTTTTTCCTTTTCTCGATATTGTCTGATATTGTGCTTTTCTTTTAGCCGTAACACAGCACCCTGCTGACTACAGTGCAAAATACAACTAGATCAAGTTATGAGAAGAAAACAAATGATCAACAAATGATGATGTTTATCATTTTGTGTGCGTGTGTGTATTTACACAAAAGTATATCTAACAGGAAAATTAAGTATATATATATATATATATATATATATATATATATATATAAAATGTACAATATATCAAATATAAAAAATCTCTTGTATGAGACAGTGCTCCTCCTGAATGTACTTCAACATTAACTTCATGCCACTTTAGAAGATTTCAATGACTCAAACAAAAAAAGTCATCATAGGATAATGAGGTAAACAAACACTCCACGAAGTTGAGTAATCTGGTTAAGTATTTTTGCTGATGACTTGTGGCATAACACTTTTCCTGTGTTGCATTAAATTAGGTTGCTATGAGGACTGAAGTTTGCACTGTGCATTATTTTGTGAGTATGTTTCCATGGGAGAGAAATGTGCACATTAATTCAAGTTTGTGTGTGTGATGAAAGATTAAAGTTAGTTGTGTGTGTGTGTGTGTGTGTGTGTGTGTGTGTGTGTGTGTGTGTGTGTGTGTGTGTGTGTGTGTGTGTGTGTGTGTGTGTGTGTGTGTGTGTAGATGTTAAGGCATATTTTATTTACATAAATTATAATGTCATCACTCTAATTTAAAGATTATGAAAATAATGCTATCTCTGTATGTGGTGGTAACCAAACAGTGTACATGAGTATTGAAATTAAATTCTTTAACAAAACCCAAATCTTAAAGAATATATACTGGCATATAGTTGGGTATAAATGTCTGACACCACGTTGATAATCTGGGGTTTAAAATGAATTTAAATGTGGAAATAAACTGATTTCTAATTATTTTGAGAAAATTTAAACAATGAGCTTTATGATGTAAAAAAAAAAGGAAATATTTGATTTCTGCAATATTTAGATAAAAAATGTGTGACATTGGACATGTTAACTCTAAATAAATAGCCAAATGTTCTGGTTTTCAGTGATGCACAACATGTTCTTTGGTACAGCTCACATGATCATCAAGTTTTTCATAAACTTGTGCAGTTCATGCAGCTTGAGATCTGCTGTCATTAAAACAAGGGAGAACAAATACTGAAAAATTCAACTTTTGACTCAATTTGTAATGCTGATATTATAATTTGCAAAAGATATATGGTTTATTTAAAGGGGACATATGCCCCTTTTACAAGACGTAATATAAGTCCCAGGTATCCCATGTGTCTGTGACGTTTCAGATTAAAATACCCCACAGATCATTTTTGAGTGTTTTCGTGCATGTATCTTTAAATGCAAATGAGCTGCTGGTCACCACCCAGCTTTCCAGAAGAGGGCGGAGCCTGTACAGCTTTGTGCCTGGCATACTCTGCCAAAAATTAAAATATCGGTTTGGTTTTGATTCTTTTTTATCATCGTGAAAGTTTTTGTTATCTGCGTTTTTAAGCCATATAAGTCTAAACTTCTGATATATGGTTTTCTGAGCGCACATATCCGAAGCACGTGCACATAAAGCTGACTGTCAGACGGTGAGTATCCTGTGAGTATTAAACTAAGTGCATGCTATATGTGCTTTTAATATGAATCAAACAACGGGAGAAAAAAACAGAAAATCATTCACTGCTTCTTGATAACTTTTGTAGCTTTAATAAGATTTACATTTCTTACTTGAATGCTGGTGTTAAATGTTCTGGCGAGAAGATAAAAATGGTTGACTGTGTACAGCTCACTCAGGTGAGGAGCTAAGCTATATAGTCTGTCAGCAGTGTGGGCAGGGCCTGTGCAATGTGAAGTCACACTGCTAGAATCTGCAAACAGCTTGTTCTGAGACACTGCTTATGATTTATGGGGATTAAAAAAAGGAGTGGGTGGATTTTTACCTAATGGTAAAAATCCACCCACTCTTTTTTTAAGGGTGGTTGTGTACACACACTGCCGACACACATTTATATTCAAAATGAATAGAATACATACAGTCAGGGCCGTAGCTAGAGGATTCGGGGCCCCCTGAAAAAATATTGATGTGGGCCCCCACCACTCTCCACCAATATCATATACTGTACAATAGATGAACATGGAGGCCCACATAACAGAAGATGGTGATGTTGTTGCAAAACCTTTATTTTAAAAGTTAAATGTTTATATAAAAATTACAACTAATAAAAACTAACAAAAAAGCAAGAAATTGTTAAATAATAATAAAACCAATTTTTAAAAAGTAATAATTTTTTTTCCCCATCAGTCTGTTATAATTCATAAATCAAAAAGTAAACATTTAGAAATTGACAAGAATGCAGTCTAATTTAAAAAAAAAACATTCATTGTCTTATTTTTTAATAAAGATAATATGGAACTGGTAATATTATTAAATAAAACGAATACATTTATTCATCCAAGTGCAGTGTGTTGTATTCGTATTTTCTCGATGTTTTAAATATCATCAGCCGGCAGGTCAGATGCATAATGCAATGCGTCGTGACTCGTGTAATTTTTTTAAAACTCTAGTTACAATAGTGTAAAAAGACAGGAATTTAGACCACGTAATCATTCGGTCGATTGCGGCGACCACCGATAATAAAAAATGACTGTACACGGCAGACTGTAGACGGAAGTTTTCTAATTCCCAGCGAAATAACAATATATAACCGGTCTTTAAAAACGCCTTGATCGACTGGGATACAACCACTCTCCTTGCCTCCCTCTCCGTCTTTTACTGGCATTTCTGGTACCTGATTTATGTTTTCTTTTCCCTGACATTTTTCAGTCAGTTAGTCTCCTGCTCTTCCACCAAGTTCATCGTTAACTTCAGGCTGCCGCCTCAACTATGATTGGTTCTGTTCACGAGCTGGGGTGGGACTTACAATTTTATTGGGTCCATCTGATGTTTGTCACTGATTCTGACTGAATAATTAATAAATACTTTAGGTCGGACTAAACCATTTTTATGGAGGTAAGAGAAGCAGATATTTGGAAAAATATTTACCCAAATTGCACGTTTTTGTGGTTTTCATTTACATCTCAGGCATACAACTAATATAAATATTAGAATTATTCATACTACAGGGGCCTAAATAGTATAACTGCTGGATTTTGTGGGGCCCCCTGGGCAGCGGGGGCCCCTATAATTGTCACCACCTTTCACCCCACTAGCGACGGCCCTGCATACAGTGGAATACAAAAATCGGAGACCATGAAAATCTGGAATTCAAAATCTAATATAAACCTGGCAAAAACAAAGTAATAAAATTTAGAAATTATGTAGGCCTAATTGATGAAACTTTATGGTGTAAAATAAGTAAGCAATTAGGTACGAGATGCTTTGCTGTATTGTGAATAAGGCACGGATGAAGGGCGTTAGGCACGACGCAAAGCAGAATTAAAGGTGCCCTATGTAAAAATTGAGGTAAAATTATCCAAAAAATGAGCTACACGCATCAAAAGAATGAGAAGAAATAAGTGCAATGATGTCATTAAAAAATTGACAAGTTATAGTGCTGCCGAGATATAAACCTAAATAAGCATGCTAAATTACTAGCGCCGGCCCGACTGGTGTCGTAATACCAGTTTCGGCCATGGGAGGCGGTATGCGGGCAACATACATAACCACCAGCCAAACTGCAGTACACGAATAACTCGCACGGCTTGTGGGCGTACTTGAACCTGATGTCAATCGCGTCTATATGAGACCGGCATTTATAATTTAGTGTTGAGATGTTGTTCATTGAGTCTCTAATCTCTTAAAATATCCAAATGAACTGCGGCCTTACTATCGTGTCAATTGATTTGATTAATATGCGCGAGGGAGAGAGAGAGCAGGAGGACTGCGCTCGTGTTGTTTGAAGATGTGAGAGTGCGCGCGCGCGGCCGGGGCGCTCTCTCTCTCTGCTCGTTATGCGCCCTGTCAAGCGCAGCAGTCATTATATTCTACATCACTCACCGATCAAAATAGGCTTTGGCGGGACAAAGCGGACGATTTGACGTTTTTTAGAAGATTAACAAACCGAAACTAAAAAACAGACTAGAGTAGGCCAACTTTCTGGAGGTATACTGCCCCCATCTGGTATGGAATATGCGGAATATGAATTTTATTTTTTGGCAGACATTCCACATGGCACCTTTAATGATAAATATTATAATATAATTTATATTAATTATTAAAAATAATAATGTGTTACATTTAATGCCGTTATATTAAATTATTTAAATGTTAGAGTTTATATTAATGTCATGTGTATACTTTATTGTTTTTACAATAAAATGCAGTGAAACACGTTGTCTTTGAAAGACGACGGGTGATTCAACTGCAGCCGTCACAGAAACTACAAGACCCATAAGCCCACTAAGTTTGTGTATGTGTGTGCGTGAGTGAGTGATTGAGTGCGTGTTTATGCGCGTGTGCGCGCGCTTGTGTTGTCTGCCGACTTGCCTGACGTCACCGCTGGAACTGCCCTGTCACGCGCTGTTAGTAAAAGTTGGGATAGGAGCTTGAGCCTCGAAACGGAGAACAGAAGCGAATTTACGGACGAACTCGACCAACGGTCGCGCTGACGCACAACGCTCACCCCCCCCCCCCCCCCTTCACGCCACGGGCAAAAAGTTGAAGCCGCTGCGAGTTCGCTGAATCTCCACAGAAGGTCGAGCTGTTTGGATTATTCTGAGGGAGAAGCAATAACATTTTCTGCACGGACTTAGAGAAATACAGCACGGAGGAACAGTTAAAAAGTTTTGCCTTCAATATTTGTCAATGTAGTGAGTTTATTAAAGAGTCGGCGTACATAGACGGGGTGAGCCCGAGCTGTCAAACCCGATGACTACTGCAAACTGCTCCGGGAATGAAGAGCTGGACTTCAGACTGATCTTCGGGGAGGACGGGCAGCAGCCGCCGTTAGGCCCCGCAGGTCAGTGCCTTTTCTTCGGGATACTCTCTCACACTCGTTCAGTATAGATTAGCTCATGAATCATGCATCGAAAAAGTGAGCAGGTCGATAGCACATTGAAAACACGCTATCAAAAGCACCGTTAGAACGACAGCACTCGCCGGCTTTTCGCTTTACACCAGCAGCTGCAGTTTTGTTTAGTTTTTTGTGTGGTTGTAAATTCAGCCAATGAAAATGAGAAGCGGCCAGTTTAGGCGGGTGATGAACTAAAATATAACCAACAAGCACATGTATACACTTTCCTGAAGACGAAAAAAAAAAAAAAAAAAAAAAGAAGAAAAACCTACCTAGACAGCCTTTTTGGGACAACATAGGCGCGTTGAGGTGATTTGAGACAGAGCCACCACGAATCTGACAGCTGCTGCACAGTGAAATGCTATAAAAGTTTCTGTTATCACTCCTGCCTTCAGCTAGAGCACATGGAAAAAGTTTCAACCCATAAGTTTCCACTAATACTGAACTTACACTGTTCCATCTCTCCATATTTACATCAATACAAACATTATCTAGTTAGTTCTGTCACCGACTGAGCAGGTAATACAAATTTATTAAAGTGTATCATTATATAAACGAATCCCCATCACAGTTCAGTTCAGGGAGGTGTATCTGTTTTTCCTTTTCCAGAATATAAACACATTTTGTGTGTAGTCCATCTAATGCCAATTATTGTGTTCATCCCTAAAGTCATAAAACGGCTAAATTTGATATAAGCCTACTCTTTGTTAAAGTATTCTTGCTTTTGTCATTAACATAATCTACATAGCTATTCAAATATTTAATTAAGCAATATTACATGGCAATCACATTATAAGATTAGAACTAGGCTAAGTGTTGCTGTAATAAATATGAATATTTTCCTAGAAGCATAGTTATGCTTTTGCATTATCAAAGTTTTAAGAGTTGTTAAATATCTCAGCAAGTGTTACCACTTAATGTGGAAATTTAATTAATACCGGGGTTTTGATTATTTGATAATCACTTTTTTTGTTCCTGCCCTCATTATTTTGTATAATAATAATGTATAATCAGCAATGCAGATTGTCTCTAGTTTGCTACCACCAGGCATGACATGTGTGTCTGTTTGTTTAATTGCCTAATGAAAAAAAAGTGTGAGACGCAGCAACCCTATCAGCCTCTGTCAGTGTGCTCGAGTGTGTCGTGAAGGAAAGAGATTTGGGTATAGTGAAAGCAGAATGCCTGTGTGTGGGTGGACCCCTTGTTTGTTTGTTTAAAAAAAAAAGTATTGCATGATGATCAGCATTTTATGTACACTGTATTTTAAGAGCAATCACCATGTTTTTTTATTAGGTAAAATACTGCATTATTGTGGTGTGAACTAACTTTGCTACTTCAAAAACTATAGGAATCAGACTGTTGTGCGATTTTACCTCACACACGACCGCCTGATGGTCTGTGTGGAAATTGACAGAAGAAAAAAGAAAACCTTTAATTTGAGACAGAAGTTGGGAGGATGTATTTGGACTAAATGTTGTAAATAAATAAATAACTTTGTGCAAGGGGGTTTAAGTTAGTTGCTCTGTATAATTTGGCCCGTATGTAGGATTTGTGCACACGCATAGGTTTGATAAGAGATTTGTAAATTAGAATTGGTAGTGAACTGTGTTTATTTCTTTCAGCTACCGTATAGTCCAACTTTATCCCTAAGAAGTGTGGAGGATTAAGAAGAATTTCAAACTGATTTTGCAGAGAATAGAATTGTTTAGGAACTTAAATTTCTATCTTGCCCGTTGTTTTGCATAGCCTAATTGGGAGCTATTGACTAAAGGAAAAATGTAATGGTTAAATTTGGTAGAAAATGCAATCCCCCCATATCTGTTTATCTACGGTATGCACTCAGTGTCATATAAAACAGGGTATTTTTATAAAAATACAATAGTTTTAAGTTGTTGAACAGGTTTTATCCCAAGGTATGTAGGTGTCTGCTCATGCAAGAAGTAATGTAGCTAAAGGGCAGGGCTGTTGTTAATACACAGTCACTCATCTGTGTTTTCTGTGCCTCTGGTTGTTTTTAGACAAAGATAACTGAATTGTATAGTCTTGTTAATAAAGCTGATACGGTTGAATTAGGTCAGGTCTCTCTTTGTCACAATATAATCACATCCTATTAAATTTTGATGACTAATTTTGTATTTATTTTTTGGCTGCCATGTTTTTATTTATTTATCGTGAACTCATTTTATTGACCAAAAAACGTAACTCTGAAACTTTATAAAAAAGAATTGAGAACTTTCCAAGCATGACATTATGGCCACTTGAAGGTGAAATGCTGATTATTGTAGGCATTTGCATTTTTATAGATTCACAGCAATCTGTAATTTCTGCCGATTTATTTTAAATATATAAATGTTAAAGGTTTATGAATTGTAGCATGCCCATTTTCTAGCTTAATTACTGTAATTCACCTAAACACAATAGTTAGTATACAGTTAGATAGAGGAGAAAAAAACTATACATTAATTTAAAATGAATTAAACAACAAAGATGATAACACAAATCTGCGTATGCGTGATGTAATGGGAGTGCTGACGAGCAGTGGGTGTAGCGTTAGAGACCATTTAAGTGCACATGTACTGTATGCTCTCAGTCTCACTCAAAATCAGTCACACATCATAACGCTAGTCTCTAACAAATCTTATTTGTTGTTGCTTGTTGTGATAATTGCAGTAACAGAAATGCATCAACATATTTGTCAGATTCAACCATTCAACCCTGTTGAGAAAACTTTACAAAATATTTAATGACCAACATTTAGTCCCAAAATAGTTTAATTTAGACTGTATCTGCCACCCTGTTACCCGTTCTGTCACATTTTTTCCTTTTTTTCACATGTAATCGATTTCGTCTAGCCTATTTAATTTATAAATAGGAAAAAGATGCTATTTTCTTCTGGAAACAAACTTTGTTGCATTATTTTCCTGTATTTTCAAAAAAATAATCAAATATAATCAAAACAACTTGGTCAAATATAGTTCCCAAATTTTGTTAACAGGGTTAATCACACTCAAAGAAAACTCTAGTTCTGTTAGTTCTCAGTGTTGTTTAGTCCAAAGTGAAATCTCACAGGACTGTCTGCTCGTTTGGTTAATCTGTGAATATTTGCATAGTGGCCATCGTCACCTTGAATGACCCACCCCAGATGAATTTTGAGTACATGAGGCAACTTTTAATTTGAACTTTTCTGTGCAGTTTTTCCAAACATAACCGGATGTGACATTGCAATGCATTTATTATTGTGAGCAGAAAAGTAGAAACCATACAATTTTAGTTGAATATTAAATTATTTAATTGTTATTTATTTGTTATAAATTATGTCAAATATTTTTTTAAATAATTAAGTTTCATTGTAACAATTTTTTTTAAGATTTTAACTAAATGAACACCTTTTTCTTTCACAGCAATTTCATGTTACTGAATCCAAACCACAATTTCTTGATCAGGCTCCAGACTGCGACCAAATGGTCGCATTTTGCGACTTTTTTCTTGCCGGTGCAAGTACATTTGTAGGTGTTGCACTGATAAGAGCTGCCATTTCCATTGCATATGAAAAACAAACAAACGAAAGGTGTCAGGTTTTTTGACGTTTTAGAAGTTTGGCCACTAGAGGCCCCATTGCGTCTCGTGTTGGTTTTCAGTTTCTGTCATTATGTCTTATTGTTGTCACCTGTGCCTTGTTCCCTGTTTGTGTATTTAAGTCAACCTTCTCCTGAGTAATTTGCTCAGTGTTTCCAGTGTCATGACCATGTATAGGTCATTATCTTGCTGTGCCTCTTTTGGAGTTATCTAAATCTACTTTGTGTACCTGGTATGGTTCCTTTCCTTTGTTGCTTTTTGTTGCTTTTGTTTTTGGTATGGTTGCTTTGTTTCTGATAGAAACACTGAGCCAGACATGGACCCAGCAGATTCATCTCATGCACAGGATCTTCGTGGGGCAGTTGCTCGTTAGGAGGCTGCCTTAGCCCAACATGACACCTTGATGACAAAACACGATAGCCTGCTATCTGACATTCTCACATCTCTCCAAGAGCTTTTTCTGAGACTTCCAGCCGATTCTGCCATGACTCCAGCCCAAACACTTCAGCCAATGCCTCCTAACCCAAGCCTCTTATCTGAAACCCGGCTACCTCCACCTCAACACTTTGCAGGAGACCCTAGTGCCTGCAATGGCAGTTTGCTCTCACTTTTGAGTTACAACCATCATCCTTCCCTTCAGACAGGGCTAAGATAGCCTATATTATCACCCTTCTCTCTGGAAGAGCCCTGTCTTGGGCCACAGCCATTTGGGAGGCCCACAGTCCCGTCTGTACCAGTTACTCTGCCTTTTGTGGGAGAGTTCAAACAGGTCTTTAATCGTCCCCTCCGAGTTCGGGAGGGATCGAAGAGGCTGTTGTCCATCCAGCAAGGTAAACGCAGTGTGGCAGACTATGCCATCCAGTTCTGCACTGTTGCAACAGCTAGTGGCTGGGATCAAGAGGCCCTCATTGTATGTTTACAGAACGGCCTCTCAGAGGCCATCCAGGATGAGCTTGCTACCAGAGATCCTGTTGGTACTCCTGAGACTCTAATTGAGGTGGCGATCCGCTTGGACAATAGACTTAGAGAGAGAGAATGGGCCCGTAAGTCTTCCATCCCCATGCCTGTACACCTCACAACTCAAGCTTCCCAAGAAACCCCAGAGCCCATGCAGTTGGGAAGTACCAGATTGTCACCCACTGAACGCGATCTGCGCATGAAAGAGGGCCGCTGCCTTTACTGTGGCCAGTCTGGACATTTCAGAGTCTCCTGTCCTGAGTATTCGGGAAAAGCTTTGTCCCGTGCAGACAGGGGAGGTCTGTGATGGGAGTTACCCAAATCTCTCCCCTAACCGACACTGGCCTACTCCTTCTGGTCACACTCTCCTGGGGCAATGAAAGACATTCTCTGCAGGCTTGGGTGGAATCAGG